AATATTTTATACTATCAAATCTAGGTGAGTTTTAACCACTCTAGTAGGTTTAGGTTGCAGATAAATCAGAATTTCTAGTTTAGATAGCTTCTGGTAGTCTGAGTCTTATTCTTGTAAAATTTTTGTAAATTGGCTCTGGCCAGAGAAACTCATAGTGGATTCTCAATACAAAATATTAATAAAGATAAAGGCAAAACCTCACCTTAAAAAAAAAATAAAATAAAAAAAAAATAAATAATTCTGATTATTATATAATAAAATATTATATTTAATTTTATTATTATTATATTCAAATTTGATAATTATCATGATCAAAATTGATTGATTTCATATTGAAATTTGATTGTTGTTATATTCAAATTTGATTGTTAATTTGTCTTAAGTTAGTGGCCAAAACTAAATAATATTATAGTATAATAGAATTGCAGCAATAGTAGTATGTAGATATTACAATTTACTATTTTTATAGCAGATAATATTGTAAGAACCATAACTGTATTATGTATATACTATAATGCACTATTGAAACAATTAGAAGTTTACAAGGTAATTCTAAAAATGTTCATATAAATAGAAAGGCTCATTATACTATTAAAGTTTTATTATCTTTTAGTAACATGGTAGTGCTTTAAATAATTCTCTTGATTCAATCTGCAAACTTGAAATTATTTATGTTTACATATTTAGAAATTATAGCCACCTGTCACATCCAAACAAATGCGAGATTTTGTGAATAAACATCATTGGTAAATTATACTCTCTGTTTTCACTTATAAAAAACTCCATTCCTAGTATAAAATATATATATTATAAAAATCTGCTCTACCCACTTTAGACGTCTCTCCAAAAATAGTAGTAAAAGACAATTCTTACTATAATTGTAAAAAATTTAATTTCATGAATTTTGTGGATTTATAACTTTCGTAGATTTGTGACTTCAGTCAATAATCTTATATTGTATATAAAAGCTATAAAAAGTTATATTTTTTATCTTAATAAACTCAACTCTTGGAGTTCGAAAACTTCTAGATCTTGAATAGAAGTTTTAATCTCTAATATAGTACTCTTTAGTCATTAAAATCATTCATCGTATCGACACTTCTTCGTTATTGTTGTATGCCCACTTTATAATGAATAAGAAAGAGAAAGATAAAGAGTAACAATTAGTAATCAGACCCTTATATATTAAACATAAATTGATAAAACTTGAGATTACCTCACTATTAAAAACTGATACCTATATAACTGATTTTGATCGTGACCCTGTAACATCATGAACTGAAATAACAAAAAAAGTAAAGTATTAGTAAAGTAATAAGAAAAGCAACTAAATCACCAAACAAAAGTAAAATGACACTTAACCTAGATTGCTCAAATCAAGTCTTTCCACACCTTGATTAAAGCCTTTACAATATTAGGGTTGGTAATTATAGTTTTAGTGTTTTAGTTTGGATAGTTTAGTTAGTGTTAGTGTTTGTAGTGAGTTGTCATATTTTGGCTCAGAAACTTTTCTGACTCAACTCTAAATATAAATTGGTAGTATTCTAGTTACAATATAAACATTTTATAATCATTTGAAATACCATAAAACTCTAAGCACAATAATTAGTCAATTTTTAGTGATAATAATTTATATAATGAAACAAAGAGCAAACAACCTATAGATATCCCTTTAAGAAACATATAAATTTTTAAAAATTCTATAAATATGGAAGAGGTTATGGTGTTTCTTGTAGATGAAATTAAAAAGCAAATTTTCCCAATGAAGAAAAAGATAATTAAAGTTATTGAAGTCTCAATGATTATTTCCAAAAATTGCACAAACAAACCAAGGGTACCAACAGAGTCATGCTTACTACATTTTATTAATAACCATAAATTTTTTACACTGATGGTATTATCGAACATACGCAAAAGAGGGAGGGTATTTATTACAGGGTTATACAGTATCCGGTTTTCTAATATCTAGCTCAAAAGTACACTTGTTTCTTTTCACTAGAGACTTCGCACTAACACTTTTACAGTTAAGTATACTTTATTTTTCTTTAATACAGTTTCTCGTTATCATGATTACTAACTGCTTTTCTTTATTTATTGTCTCTATTTATATTTATTCTAATCTAATTACATCATTTATGCATCCTTATACTTTAATAAACTTTTAATTACATACCTTCTGTCATTGTTTCGTCGATTGACGATCACGTGTCATGTGACAATGATAACGCTGCCCAACACTATCAACCCCATTATGATGTTGCCCAATAATACAATCACATGATACCGTTGAAGTGCATTCCCTACTTTCCTTTACCCTTTTGGGTTCACTATACAACCCCTGATCGATCAACATCCCTCTTACCAAGTACAAGGGTTCACCAAGAACTATGCGACAGTATTCAAGTTCATGTGTCTACAATTAAATTGCAAAATTTAAATGATACTGAATGTGAACCCTCTGCAAAACACAAAAGATCTGAAGAATCGTATGAATATGTTGAAGACCTACCAGAAGTGAAAAATGTTGACTCTACTGTTGATTGTGAACCTGAGATAACTGAAAATAACCTAGCCAAAAATAATAAACCACGAAAAAACCTCACTCGCAATCGAAAAAAGGGTAAAGAACGTCCGATTAGAACTACACGAAATCATCAAACCTCGCAACATTTAGATCAAGAAACCGTTGATTCTGATAAAGAATAAATATAACTATTTTATAATTTAATTTATGTTATATATAGTTTAAGTTATTATTTACCTTTATATGTCATATATGTTTTACGAAAATTTTATGTGATTTATTCTTTAAAAATTTATAAATTTAAATTTACTGCAATGAGAAACTTACTTAAATAAGCTTATTAATTGAAAAAAAGTTACTTATCGCATTTTTCAAATTACTATAAACAGCAAATTTCATGTATCATATCAATACAAAATATCATCTATCTAATAAGATAAAAAATCTAGGTTTACTTATTTCTTACTGTAATACAAATCATATAAAATTATAAATACTCTATTTGCTGTAAATTTACTTTAACTTCAAAGTTAGGAAGAATAGATTCTATACTAAAATTTTGCAAGGAATTTTTTTGTTAGAATACAAGAGGCGGTTTTTTAGACAAAATTTTGAGTTATTGGCGGTTTTTTGAAAAATACCAACAAAATACTAACAGATTTCATGTTGCATCTGATCTTACAATCTACATACAAAAATTTCCTTTTTTTGGTTGTATTACGGTGAAATAAGGGCATGCAAAAAAATCCTACATCTAGAATGCAAAGTCTTACGGTGAATTATTAATATAAAGATGCAGTAAAAATGATTAATAAATATGCTTCTATATAAATCTCTGATCCGATAAGCAATAATTATAGATCATAACCGTGGTATCAATTGTAATTGTGTTATGACTAGGGGGACTTTGTAACTACACAGCCAATTTAACTTAGGGTTGTAAGTATTGGAATGAGAAACAAAGTATTTATTATCACACACAAGGCACCAAAAAGTACTAATAGTATATTCTACTAAGTGTACCCGGTACACTAATAACTCTTTACTAATGCACAAAACTAAAAACTAAATACAAAACAACTAACTAACCAGTGCTAAATAACCCTCTATTTATAATTACTATTAAACTCTAATTAGACTATCATGCAAAATGTAAAATTTAAGCTTATACTAAAATATCGTAATGATCGACAAAGTATGATAGATCATATTAACTAGAAAATACCTGTATTTTAGCAAATTCCATAAAAAACAACATGAATATGTTATCCCATAAAGCCATCTAATCTCGCAATAATGATCGTCCTGTTACTTTATTGACAGGCTTTTTACTCTTTGATAATCGTAACTTGATTTTAAGTAGTTATTACTATGCTAACTTCTCTAAAACTATAAATGATTTGTATTATTTTTAATACTGGTGTTCTAAAACCTTAATAAAACATTTTATGTACTTCTTTTTTGTTATTCTTCGCATTTTTATTTTTTTAAAAAAGTACTTTAGACTGTATAAATAATGTAAAATTATATTGATTTAAACAGTCAATCATACCTATGAAAAAATGTGAACACTGTAGATCACGATATAATGTGGGAATCAGATATTCTATTGAATTTAAGAATTTCATTGATTTCAATGAAATAAAAATGTAACTGATTGAAATATAAAATAACAGATGATCTAAAAATCTCATAACTTTTCTCTGATTATCGTTAAAAAATCATGTAGCCACATCTTTTTGCAAAACCTTATGATCGATTGACAACGAACTCAAATTTTGTGATGATTGACATATTCTATATGATCTGTGAAGGCTTAGTTTATTAATAATAGCATAATCGATAAATGTAAATAAACGCAAATCGGATAAAATTCACAAAAAAATTATGTATGGTGATGTATAAGAGAAAATAAGTTCTGTATAAAAAAAATATATTGATTAATGATCGTAAATTCTACACGAAAAATAAAAATAATATTTAACCCTAATTTAAAAGGATATCTTAACATTTATAAAAAAACTAACAAATACTTCTTATAAAAAACAACTTCATAATATCTAATCTAATATTTAAATTTAAATAAACCCATCCGCATCTCTTATAAAATCTTAAATATAACTGTAATTGCTAATAAAAACAGTAACTAAAATTCTAACAATTTAAGACAGAAGATTCATTATAATATAATTTGTATACATTTATTAAAAGGTTATATAATATATTTAGATCCAATAAGTTATATATGAATAAAATCCCAAATCAAAGATCAATTGCTCAACAACGAAGAAGGATTAGAGAAAAGTCTGCAGCAATACCCGAATGGAAAAAAAATAATAGAAAACGTACCAAATTAGAAAATACAATTTACACTCAATATAATCTTACTTATAACCCTTTACAATATGTATATGAGCGACATCACCTTGGCTGGATGAATGTAGAATGTGTTTATTGTGGTGCACTACATTGGCTTGATGAACATCTTACTTCGTCTACTTACAATCATCTAAAATTTGGTACATGTTGTTCAAATGGTGAGGTTATTTTACCAACCTTACAAGACCCACCATTCCTACTATGTCAGCTTTTTGAAGGTCAAGATGATTGTTCTAAAGAATTTCGACGCAATATTCGACAATATAATGCATCACATGCATTTACTTCTCTTGGTGCAAAAATTGATCAATCTGTTCTTGATGGTTATGGACTATATAGTTTTCGTATAAGTGGAGAATTATATCATTGCATAGGTTCTTTACTTTCTAATTCAAATGATGAAGCAACATATGCTCAGCTTTATATTTATGACCCTGAAATAGCTCATCAGTTAAGAATGCAACGTAATGAATCTTTGTCACCAGAAATAATGCAAGAAATACAAAAGCTTTTACGTAAATATCATGCATTTTATTCTGTATATAAACAAGCACATGAAATTCTTATGCAAAATCAGGAAAACCAACAAATAACAGATTTAAAAATTTATCTTCATTTTAATAAACAAACTAATCATCATTGTTATAATCTTCCAACTGTAAATGAAATAGCTATTATTCTACCAAGTAATACTTTAAAACCTGAAGTAATGCGTGATATTATTCTTCAACTTCATGGAGGACTGCTTCAACGAATTCATGAAGGACATTCTGCTTATTTGCCGCTCCATTATGTTCTATTTTTTCCTTATGAAGAACTTGGGTGGCATTCAGATTTGCGTCATACACTAATTAATACACAAAAAAAATTTATTTAAAATCAATATAGCATACCACGACTTACTCAGTTAGAATATTATGCTTATCAACTTTTTTCACGACAAAATGAATTTTTTACAATTCTTCATAGTGGAAAATTATTTCAAGAGTTTATTGTTGACGCATGCACTGCAACAGAACAAAACAGGCTAAGATTTTTACATATAAATCAATATATACTGCATGCAGATGCATATCAAGGTCTTATTGATACAGTTGGAAATACCTTAAATGAAGAATTATCTTTAAATAATCTTGGTTGTAGAATAATTCTTCTTTCAACTCATATTGGAAGTGCCCATCATATGTTTGAAATATTTCAAGATTCAATGGCAATTACTCGATTTTATAGCCATCCTAATATTTTTAGAACAATGACTGCAAATCCAAACTGGTCTGAAATAATTAATAAATTGTTTGTAGGTCAAACTACTGCTGATAGACCAGACTTAGTAGCACGTGTATTTGAACTAAAACGTCGAGCACTTCTTTATGATATTAAGAAAAATAATCTTTTTGGTGAAGCTGTTGCACATGTATACACAATTGAATTTCAAAAACGGGGTCTTCCACATATGCATTTTTTTAATTTTTTTTAACAACAATAACAAAATAAAAGATCCTGCAGATGTTGACTGAATAGTAAGTGCTGAGTTTCCTGATCAACAAAAAGATCTAGTTCTTTTTAATACTATACTTCGATGTATGGTTCATGGACCATGTGGTAATCGCAATCCAAATGCACCATGTATAGTTAATGGTAAATACATTAAAAATTATCCTAAAGCTTTTTGTAATTCAACTTCCATGAATGAAAATGGATATCCTCTTTATGTTAGAAAAAATGATGGTAGAATATTTGAAATTAAAGAAAAAATTGTTGATAACAGAGATATTGTACCATATAATCCTTATCTTAGTCGAAAATATAATTGTCATATTAATATTGAAATTTGTGCTTCTGTACGTGCAGTTAAATATATTCATAAATATATTTACAAAGGTTATGACAAAACAACAATGCAATTTGGTCGTGAACCAGATGAAATTAAGCAATATATTGATGCAAGATATATTGGTGCTGCTAAAGCTGCTTGGCGTCTTTTTGGAATATCTATGCATGAAGAATTACCAAACTAGCACTACATCTTTCTGGAATGCATATAGTTGTATTTGATCCTACTGATAATGCATCTGCTATTCTTACACGTGCTGATCGTCAAAAAACAACTCTTACTGCTTTTTTTGAAGCATGTAAAACTTATGAATCTGCTTGCCAATACACTTATCAAGAGTTTTCACAATATTTTGTATGGAATAAAAAACTTAAATAATGGACACCACAAAAAAGAGGATTTGCAATTGGTCATTTGTACTTTGCTGTTCCTTCTGCAGGAGAAAGATTTTATCTTAGACGTCTTCTTACAACTATACGTGGTCCAACATCTTTTAAATATTTAAGAACTGTTAATAATATTATTTATCCAATATTTAAAAGTGCATGTATAGCTTTAGGACTTTTAGAAAATGATCAAGAATGGTTTAAATGTCTTGAAGAAGCTGCTGTTCTACGTACTGGATCTTAATTAAGAGTTCTTTTTGCTATTATACTCACTCAATGTACTCCTACTCATCCAGAAAATTTATGGACACACTTCCGTATCAATCTTTGTGATGATCTCTATTATCGATTACATAAAGATTATAATATTTCTGAACCTACTGATGACCAAATTTTTGACTATGGACTTTTTCTTATAGATAAAATTCTTCATCAATCTAACCAATCTCTTGAAATGTTTCTATCAATGCCTCTTTGGCAACTAAACTGGGGATGTTATAATAAAATCTATATTATTGCAGAACAATTAGTTTGGGATTATCAAAAACTTCAAAATACTGTTAATGATTGTATTTTATTACTA